AGACAAGTTATTATCCAAGTATGATTGAATAATTATGAATATTATTTACTCGACAATTTATAGTACCACCATAAATCATTCGATTCTTGTGGCTTCAAAAACAAATTGACAAATTAGTCAGATTTTAGTTGGAGACAAGAAGAGCAAAAGTACATACAAATTCCCACCTCTGCGTTCATTACCGACCACTATCTCGAAACTATGTTGCGCTATCAAATTTTATGTTTCTAATCAAGCCTTAGTACAAATAAACCTTAATATTCCACGTCAATATTCTTCAATATTTAAATATTAAACAAAACTGATTGTTTGTCAAAGATGTAGGAAAACTTTCTTTAGTGCAGAATAATCTAACGTAACAGATTACTCCGGGGAAGCAGGGTATGCAGGCTAGTTTGTTGAATATTTATAATCACTCTGAGAATATTCACGCAGATGAAGGATTTGGTGAAATTATTTTAGTGAAATTATAGAAAATTTTTTAGATATCCCAGCAAAAAGGAAAATTTCATCTACGAGAATTGATGTGGTCTATTAGAAAACAACAATAAAAGTCAAAAAATTCATACGTCAAATTAAAAATTGTTCCCAGTATTTTCTTATCGCTCTCTGTCTAATGTGTATTTTAAAGGGAAACCTTTAGCCTATTTCTAGTAAACGCTCTCCAACGTGGCTTATTTATTGTAGAGAAATGAATCAAGGCGCCTATTACATTAAAAAATGTTTCCATTTTAACAAAAGCGGAGAAACATAAGTCTGAACAGATTAATTATATAAGGTTGAACATATCATAAATCTTCCTCCGAAGATGATAACTTAGTTTTTAAGTAAAATTTGTAGAGATGCGCATATAACTTCAAGAAATAAAATATGTTTTTTTTTTATTTTAGTAATTTATATCATTTCATGCCTTTTGTTTTTCAAGTAGCATAAGTTACTAACCGACTCATTATCACTAGGAAGACATTCTGGATCTGCTTTGGAATTATTTGAAGGCAAAGAATTAGAAGAGGATTCGTTTTCCTAAAAACATATTCCCTTTTGAATATATATAATAAATTTACGAATAGGACAACTTACGTCATTGATGTTTGCCTTAAATGAAAATGAAGCTCCAAAATCCTGCATTGGTTGCTGGTTTGATAATCTAATTTCTTCACACTATAGCAAAAGTAATCGCTTAGACGCAAATATAAATAAAAACATACTGTGTGTCGGAAGAGAAAGCAAAGCAATATCCATCCTTAAAATTTTATCTGAAAATTGGAAGCTATAGTGGAAGAACGTATTCAACGTTCACTTGCGTTTCACTATGAGATGTGGTTTTAAACAATCGGTGAGAATGTTTAAGAATATTTAAATAGTTACTAAAACTTCTTAATTGTTTCTAAATCTAACAATATTTTCAAAAACTTTTAAATACGAATTTATAAAAATATCTGCAATTTCCTATCTCTTCAAAACGTACACTTACACTTTCAAAATCATTTGTGTTTAGATCTTTTGAAACGGCATTCGGTGTAAGAGGTGATGGTTCGTCCAGGGGTTTGTTACAAAACCACCTATTTTTTTTCTTTATTGAGTTTGCACCACAAACTGCATACTATAAAAAGTTATATTTAGATATGGATATTTAACAATAATGTAATACTTGCGTATTCTTCAGGAAATAACCTTCGCGCCATGCTGAAATAAGTATCCCATTAATATTTTTTACTTAATAAAAATCATTCAACAAAAAATAGCAAATTTGCAATGCCTAAATGGAGATCACAATCTCAAATTTTAATTACTTACCTAACAATTTTCCTACTACGAAACATGCACAGAACCGTAAAAACACGTGAAAATTAAAGGACGCACACAGCTTCAAACAGAAGTAACCGCCTTCGATGCTCTAATAAACGGTTCCAAATTCTGAGACATTTGGCAACGCGGGTGGTGAACTTATCCACCGTAATCTGGATTTACTTAGTATTTGCAATTTTGATGGTTGTAACAATAAAGTGTTATTATTTTTGGCAAGTTTTCTAACAACGGGGATTATTACTATTAACCGTTGCGAAAAGTGATGCACCATTTTTCAAAAAAATTGACTTTTAAATTGAAATATTTTTATCAAAACACTTTGGATTAAAAATTATGGTGGAATAATGGCAAGTTCAAAAAACAAATGGTAATGGTTAGCTCAATGAGAAGGTATGATTAGAAGAGAAAACGATAGTTAGAACATTAGAAATAATAAACTTATTGCAAATAAAAACAGCATTGGTTTTATATTCTCCAAAAATATTAAAAGAAATTGTTTTAAATAAAAGTTCGTTGTGCCCAAAATAGAGCGAAACGATAGTTAACAGTAAGTGGTAAACAACAATTGAAGTTGAAAATTTTTCGAAATTATATTTTCTATTTGTCACTTTTGATATCGTTTCATCTACCTTTGAAAAAAAAAATAAATTAAAAAGAATTCGTCATTATTTTTGTTATTTAGAAAACAAAGTAATTAATAACTTCAACAATAACCGTTTTATGCCCACGACACGTGGACGTACAAGCTGCCCAAACTGCCTGACCATCGGAATTTTACAGGCAGCGTAAGGAACTATTTTTTGGTTGCGGTGACGAACGAGGTAGCAATTATGATAATTATGTTAGTGTTTAAGCGGCACGTTTTGACAAGATAGTTAAGGGCAGATTGATAGAAGTGAATAAAAAGTAATAAATAACGTCAACTTTTGACATATTTTAATAACATTTCTAAAATTTATGGCACCAGTTATTTTTAAGTAACATTTACCAATTTTAGGTACACTAGAACTAATGTGTAAGAGAAAAAGAAATGCTCAATAAAATCGAAACATTCGAAATGTGGACGTACAGGAGAATGCTTAAAACATCCTGGATCACAAGAACCAAAAATGAAGAAATTCTTCGACGAATAGGATACCACAGATTACTTCTGAGTATTATCAAGCGACGAAAACTTGAATACCTGTTCCATATAATTAGACCTCGATATAACATTCCTCGACTTATGCTTAATAGAAAAGTAGAAGGGAAAAAGTATATTGGACGTAAGAGGCTTTAATGGCTAAGAAACCTGAGACAATGGACAGGCCTTAATATGGAGATATCTTAAACATGTCAGTCGTCAATGTACAACAGGCACATGACATTTGAAGAAGAAGAACTAATGTCGTCTCATCATCTTCTCCACCCTTAGTTACTTCAGATATAAATATTTAAGATTGTACAAGGTTTGCTTTAAGCGAAGAATGTTTTTGTTGAGTTTTCGTTGAAATGTTATGCACATTTTAAGCTTATCTTATTATTATTAAGTATAAATGATAAAAAAAGATGTTATCAAAACCAATCTCCATATTAGATAAAACATTTGATGGTAGGATAGGATGGCACTTTAACAATCAGAACAAAGGTTAGATTTATGATTACAGACGTATGTACCAATAATTTAATCGATACAGGACACAAAAAAGGGTTTCATAATATCAGTTACATAACCCAACCTTTGAACTTTTTATCTAGGTAAAAATAGTAAATTAAATATCATTTGAAGAATCGAGTTAAGGACCTGCATCCGAGTTTTCTAGCGTTAGCTCGGTATCTCCTTGGAATAAATTTTAGTTTTTAAAGAAAATTTAATACTCTCTGCAACTTGTAGTTATAATGTAGTCATGCCAAGCGAGTCTTGTGTAAAGTATTGACCTTTTCAGTATACCGGCGATAACTTGTTCGTAAGATCATCTTTGAAGCAAGCTCAACTTCAGTCCAACTACACGCCGGTATATTTTTATTAATTCTCATTTTCGGGAAACATTGGTCCGCTGCACACTAAAATCCCGGGTATGCCTGATGATGCCCGATGTAATCGTTTGAAAATTAATATCTGATTTGTAGGTACGGGCAAGGCAAGACACGCCGAAGATGTAGTCTACCTTTTTAACTCTACCTTGCCCCTGACCACCGCTGATGAATTCTGAACGAGGAACAGATTAGTGGGGCTTTGAGCTAATTTCGCTAAGACGCTGTGAGTCTAGCTGTCCGTTTTTAAGTTTAATTTTGATGTTTGAACGCTAGATGGATTGGTCAATAGCTAATAAGATTTGACATGCTTAGGAATCCCACTCCTGATGAATCGGATCCACTCATCAACTTAAAGTGGCCCCAAGTATCAGGATCGTTTATTCCGTATTTGGATATCTATAAGAATCTTGAAGTGAAACCCGGCACAAAGGTTACCGAAATGGCAATGTGGAACGATGTCGGAACGATTACGGAAAGCAACCGTTTACCGGATTCTAAATGTGTTTGATACATAGTAACATGTTTTTCTATACTTGTTTGTAATTTTGGAAAGATCTCGAATATTCCCTTCCCTAAAACGATAGTAGTACTAGCAATTTTATATTTTTGGCGTTTGTGGCTTTTCCAAAATACCTACATGGACTAATGAGTAGCGGAGGATTGGAAATGGACTAGTTAAACTTAAACGTCTGCATTCTAGTTTTGTCTAATTTGAAGATACTTTGTTATGTTTTAGCAATAAGTCGGATAATCAAAAGGGCAATTAGTAAAAACCTGGAAGGAAAAATATATAACATTAATTGGAAACCACTGCCAAGATGTCCAATTTCTGAGAGAAGTATGCAACCCAAGAAGAATATAATATACATTTTATATAAACCTCAAATGGATCGCAAACATGCGCGTTACATTACACAATAAATGTGTATAGATTATACATTTATCTAATGAGGTCGAACTTGTTGCCCCTGTTTGAAATATTATTTAAGGGATATGATTTTTTTTTGAACCTCGAATAAAAAGGAGCCATCATATGAAAACAACTTCATATAGCACGTTCATTAAATATATTAGATTATTCCTATATGATTTTGAAAAAGTACTTATCACTTTCAAGTATAGCAGTAATGTATAAATAAAATCGGACACAACATTCACTAACATAGACGCTCATGATGCTCCGTCAAGTAGTATGTGTTTATCTCTTGTCAATTGCGGTAAGTCTTTTATATATATTCGAAAATATTCGTTGATTCCCAGAGTTGTATTTTTGCATTTTTCGAGTTATGGCAAAGCTGAAAAAGTTTTTATATAGAAATACACGATTTCAATAATTTAACAGAATACTATGCTTGCCATGTACAAAAAGAAAGTTGTATTTAATTATGGAAATTACAGCGCATTTGGTGGAGAAGATATTGCTATGGGGTTTTCGCTATTAAATATTTAACAGAAATCGAGACCATGGCATATAAGTCGATTTTGCTCTACCACTATGTTGAAGGTGGTCCCTCTATTATGGGTTGACACCTTATCTCAGATCCTGTAAAAATGATTAAAATAGAGAAAAATTTGTTTTGCTTACCTTGAAATATTATACTGCAGTGTAAAATACTGTAGTATATCATTTTCAGAAAACGCCACCTGGTAGCACACAGCACAATTGCGTAGCACATCGTAAAAATGGTGGCCTAGTAAAAGCCATTTTTAACGATTCCAAGTTTATTAAAATGCGCCTCTTTGAAGATATGGACATTTGTTTAAGAAAATATTACAATAACACAAACCACCTTTCTTTCAAAGATAGAGCAAACAGCGTTAAACAAAACAGATTTGAATTTACCTCAGCTTTAATTACGGTTAACAGTAAACATTTTTGTAAAAACAGTTTTAAAATTGAACAAAATTGAAACAATTACGGCCTTTGGTGAATTTTTTTTTCCCAATTTTTTGGACCGTCAGATTGAGTAATACTGTGCCTTGTTGCTCTTGGTATATATAGGGTTTTTGAATTTTTGTTATTTGATGTATATATAATAATAAAATACCCAATAGTCGTTCAATACATTTTCTATCAAAGATGGACTGATTTATAAATATGTTGAATATTTAAAAATGGAACAAATTTTATCAAAAATATTTTGAAATTGGTTGAAAAATATTCAAATTGATAAAAACCTACAATTGTCAAACAAATCATAGCAAAAATTTTAGAACCCCTAGGATTTGCCAATTAATAAAACTTTTATCAAAAATTCTCATTTTTGCTTTTTCAAATAATATTTTTTTTATTTTCATATACCATTAGTATTTTCTAAATTATTAAGGTTTTCTTTGTAGAAAACATTGAATTGATTTGAAATCATTTTTTTATATTAAAATAACAACAATAAAAACTTATTAATTTAGTTGGCATAAAATTATCTAACACTGAATTTTAAATGCACATAAATCCAAAATGATAACTTTCCTGCGAGCGTTTTGTATGTTTGGAGGTCATGTCATTTTTACAATAGAAAAAGGAATTGCGAATATTATATATCCACGCTCTCTTTTTTTAATGCGAAATACAATGAAATTGTAAAAATTGGGGGTTTTTCATTTAAATTTTTAAGGTTATGATTTGATCATATTGGATTTATTATTTATTGTTGAAATACCAACATGGACCACTGTTAATTTTTTTATTTTACACTAGCGCAGTGACAAAAATATCCGAAGTATAAACGAGGAGGAGTAAGGGTACTAAGACGGAACCTTGTGCAATTTCATATCTAATATCTACCTGATTAGATAAATTACTATTACACTATATAGACTGAAACCTGCCGTCTACATAGCAAGTTATAAGAAGGCAAGCTGGATTATTGGAACTATAATATTTTAATATAATTTTAAACAGTAGGAGTGAATGATTTACCGCATCAAATGAATAATCTAAGAGAATAACAATAATGTTAATCTTATCAAAAGCACAAAAAATGTCTTTAGTCTCATCCATAAGGGCAACAGATGTCCCAAAATTCTTTTAAAACCCGCATTGAGTTTTTGGTATAAATAAATTACTGGTGAAATATTTGGTTATATAAAAATTTTTCAAATATTTTAGATAAAGTCACTGATAACGCAAAGATTGTCAAACGATGAATTTTATTTTCCCCAATTGAAATCTTCCATTGATTATAATAATAGTTGATCTTCAGCAAACAATGATATTTGTCATATATTTATCCACACATGGACCACAGAGTTTAAGCATTAATGGGGAGATTTAAAAAAGGCTTTAAAATGTGTGTGTTACGCCGACGATAATGTATTGGTAGCTGAGAATGAAGTTGATTTGCACAGATTACTATATCAGTTTAATTACGGCAGAATAGTTCTTAGCCTACAGTTTGCAGGCGATCAGGCAGTAATAGCAGGGGATAAAGAAGGTCTAGAATATGTAGCACGTAAACTAAGATTGGGGACTGACTATGAATGTTGAAAAAACGAAATATATATGCATAGGAAGGGAAAGTGGAAACCTACAATTGGAAAACTCAGAAGATATATATATATATATATATATATATATATATATATATATATATATATATATATATATATATATATATATATATATATATATATATATTATTAATTAAAAATATCACTGACCGCATATCAAAATTTCTAAAGAAGTATAACGTCGAAACCAGATTTACCACTTGTCCAAAATCTGTCGACATCTTCGTTTCGTCAAAGATAAAATTCCAATTGAGGTTTCCAGGAGTTTACAGCATTCCATGCATATGCGGCAAAGAATACATTGGAGAAACCGGACGAAAAATATCAACTAGGCTCAAAGGACACGTAAGAGCGTTGCGACTAAGACAAATAAACCCATCAGCTGTTGTCGAACACAATCACGAAACCGTACATAAAATTTCATTCGATAAAACTAAAATGCTTGCAGGTAATCAATTCTTCTAACAACGAAAAATCCGAGAGTCTATAGAAATCTATAAACAACCTAACAATCTTAACCACGACTCTGGTCTTTACCTGTCACCAACATGGGAATCGGTCATCCGAGACGGTGTTTCTGCCATTCATTTAGTTCCGCCCTCCTCAAACAATATATAAGCAAATACAGAGTAAAACGTGAGCCAGTTTCAGTCAAGCTCTGAAGAAGCCAACAGAATGATTGGCGAAACCTCAGCAAGTTCGACTCAGCAAAAACCGACGCAGGAGGAAACCAGTTTTGTAAAAAGTAAATACTAATATTCAAATATTATTTTTTTAAATTGTTTTCTAAGTTCTTGACAGTTGACTTATTTGCAGATCAATAAATTATTGTACCAAATGAAGAAAAACTGTTAATTTGGAAATTAATGTCATTTTCAATTATTTTCTTTTACGAGGATAACTGGGGCATCATATTACTTTGTTGTGTGTTTAATGTTGGTCTAAAATGGACCGATGTTAGATATTTGGTATATTTAGGAGGAATAATTAGAAGTTACTATTTTAGTTTTAATAAACATAAGGATTTTTTAAATCTTTATAAAATTATAAAGAACACTTACAACAGCAATGAGAGCGGCATTCGTTACTCGTCAAAATTAACATTTTCTTCAGAAGGCTATTTACAAATCTTCTAGATCTCTTCTGCATCGTTTGTTTATAAACAAAGCTAGCTGACGTTTTGCCAATCATCCTGATGGCTTCTTCAGAGCATAAGTGAAGCTTGCTCACATTCTATTCTTATATACTTTTATACTTTTTGAGAGAGGTGGAGCTAAAAGAGAGACATGAACATTGTCTCAGATTTCCATATTGGTGAAAGACAGAGTCGCGGTTAAGATGGTTTGGTTGTTTAGAGATTTCTATGGATTCTCGGATATTTCCGGGTAGAAGAATTGATTATATTGATTAATTTTTTAATTTGATCCAATGAGATTTCGGTTTTATTATTGTTCTCGGCAACTGCTTATGACTTTATTTGTCATAGTCGTATATTTTTTGGTCTGTTTCTCTGGTTAGTTTTGACATAGCTCTTTCAGATATATTGCAATTCGGGAATCTGGAATCAAACCTATTCAACCGAATTGAAAAATACTTGTCTGAAACATATTTTTTGTAACGGTGAAATTTATGAACAGGACCATCTCTGAGATCTCCAGGATGGTTGGCGAAACGTCAGCAAGGTCGATTTATCAACCACCGACGCAGGTAGAATGCAGAATATTTGCAAATAGTCTTACATTATTCTGTGAACGTTTCCTTTAAAAAAAAATCTTTAGAAATCTTTTGCTAGACAAGTTTGATAAACGCCAGATTAATTTATTTTTCTCCAACGGAGGGAGTGCTTAATAAATGAATGACTGAACAAGTTTACAAGGTGTTGCATACTATACGCGTGCCTTGACCATCAGAATTGACAAACCAAAGCCCTGGCTAATATATCACCGGAAATATCCGAAGCCGCTCGCAGCCCTAGGTAACTGTATAATGGGTATTTTAGAGCAGGAATTTGAAAGGGGGATTTTTTAAAATCAATTTGGGAAAAAAATTTAGATGGTATCCAAGGAACTAAAGAGCCCTTTTATTCCGAGGCAAAAGTTTATAGAGAATATGTCGAAAATCACCTAAACAGATACTTTACTTCAGAGGTTTATACACTAGTTATGCACCTTGAGAGTATATTTAGAAAAACATTGTTAGGATTTAAGTTTGGGTACATTAAAAAAAGTAATATATGAACATATTATTCGGTAGTAATGGTGACACATTATTGAATATTTCGTAGTTTACTTTTCATCCCTGTCATTCCTTGTTTAATTTTATTTTTATTTATATCTTAGGGCATAATAAAGAAAAATAACTATGAAAACGAACACTTTTATCGAATAACTTTTAACAAAGTTCATTTCAAAATAATTTTTACTAAAATTTAGAAATGTTACTTTCCACATTTATTTTGGTTGGATAAATGCAAAAGTCAAGAACTTAAATCGTTCAATAAAATAGTTTCAAATAGCTCTTATATGTTGCGGAATCTAATAGGCGACATATTAATATAATAAGACGATAAAATCAAAATATTTTATTACCCAATTATTTAGATAAGTATTTAGCAAATGATATTTTAATTTGCAAATTCCAACAACTTCTTTTCCTATTGCATTTGGCAACCATTTATAGTGAATATTTCTATAATATAAATATTTAT